TCCCTCCCATCCTACAGCCACTTGATGAGTTAGCCATGTGCTAGCAACTCCTTCCTTAAATAATCTCATTCATTTATAGTATTGAGCATCATAAAAACTATTTGCATTATTAGCACAGTTAGCACTTTGAGATGGATGCTGGGACAGTTACTAAATGAGGTTGCAGCGAACTAACCCGAGAGGACTAATCTGGCCTTTGACCTGAACTTTGTCCACGGCCCCCCCTTCTGACGCACAACACCTTTTCGACCAATCTTCCCCCTCAAGCCCCGAGTTATTAAGTGACTGTACTCCAATGTGATCCAATTCCTTTTTCCATTTCCCCGAGGGAAGAAATGAAGCTTGTGCGCACATCGTTCACTGTTTTCTCCTCCCTTTGGCTTAAGCTGTCAAGCAATCACATGCTGCCCCTATCAAGTGCTGCACAGCCACCCACTTAAAACCCTGGTTCGAGTACAGTACTGAATCTTGAGTGAGTGTCCTTGTTCTCTCCCAGGCTCTGTGTGTTTGATGCCGGATAAAACCAAATAAAGCAATTTTACCCGATCCCTGCAATATGATACGTACACTGATATTAATGGTGGGCGATTATCCTGAAAAAACTCCAAAAGAGCGACTAATCTCCATTTGTGTACCATTGTGACAAATGAGGGAGGTAAAACATTGAACATTGTATATTATGTTTTCAGTTGTGAGGGGTCATAGTAAACTGTAATAGTGATGATCTGTTCTGTAAGAATCAAAAGATAGTGAAATGGAAGGTGTGAATTATGAGAAAAGAAATACAATTTAGATTCTAACCAAATAGTAATAGCCGCAAATTAATTTAGGATTTTAAATAGACTTTCAAATCAGTGGAATCATTGAGGTAAAGGAGAAAAAACGTTTCTACATTCTTTTTCATCATTTCCTCACCAAAACATTTCCAGTGATCAGTCCCTCCAACAACTGTCACCTTAAAGTTAAACATCTCAGCATCTTTGAACGGACTATAGCTCGGTCATCCACACACAACACAGCGCTGGTGGAAGAAGTATTCGGATACTTTAATAAAGTATCTGTCAAAGTATTATCAGCAACATTTACTTCACTTTAAGTAGGAACAGTAAAAGTACTCATTGTGCAGTAAAACGGTCCCAGTCACTGTTTTACTGTATATGATGGATTATTATCACTGATGCATGATAGTGTATGGTGCATTTTACTGATTTACTGACTTAATCATTTTAACTACTTTATCTACTGTTGGGTAGTTTCATCTACGGCAATGCATCATATTCTATTGTCATATGTTTGTCACTGTCCTGAGAGAATGTTTTCAGCTCTGTGTTTTAAATAGTGTATTTAGCTTGAGAAGCAGGATCATTTAATCCTTCATGTAATCAGAAACATAAATACTTTTTTTTTTTTACTAAACAAGAAGAGTATGAAAAACTGTAAACCATTCATCTTTATTTAATCAGGCAGTCTCACTGAGATTAAGATGTATTTTCCAAGAGAAAACACAACAGGCGTTCACAAAAACACAATCAAACAAGGATTTAATAAACCTAAAATCTGCAAAGCAACTAAAGCTGTCAGATGATTGTAGTGGAGTAAAAAGAGTACACTGTCTCCAAAGTTGTATACAATGTTAATACTCAAGTAAAGTACAAGTACCTCCAATATACACACAGTACAGTACCAGTGTGAACGTACTCAGGTACAGTCCACCACTGCAGCCCACGCAGACCTTCTCCACTTACTTTCATCGTCGATGTTTTCCTCGCAGGAGAACCAGATGCCGGTGTGGAACTGTCGGAACAGGAACCTGTCGTCCCCGGTCTCCCAGCTGTACACCACTTTGTTCGGGTCCGTCTCGTTCACTCCGTAGTCTATACACTGGTGTGTCCGCAGCTTGCTGCACTTCGGCTTGGGGACTCTCTGGGTCCCCACGCACCAGTAAGTCGTTATAAACGCGGTTATTGAGAAAAACAGGGCGAAGAAGTTCAAGGTAACCGACAGAAGGGTCCGGCATCTGCGACTCGTCTTCATTGTCCGTGAGAGGGAGGGTGCAGCGGCGCGCGGAGGACCGAAAAGTTCATGGGTGCGAGGTGGAGCAGATGCACGAGCTAATTTCCACACACACACACACACAGACCTGGCGAGGTACGGGTCCTATGCAGCTCCACAGGTACCGAACATCTCCACCGATACCGACAGCACCCCCACACTGAGCTCAGCTGTGTGTCAAAGTGTCACTTTCTCGTCATTACACTTTCCCACCCCCCTTTCACACGCGGTGGCCCACGAGCGTCCAGCCCATAGGACGTCACGTTGTCAAAGGATTTCACTCTCGTTTGCGTCAAGTGTGGGATGTTCTTATGATGCCCCCCCTCCCTCCTCTCTGTCTCTCTGTCAATACCATGCCTCTCCTCCATCCATCGCCCACAAACAGCCCATCAACTGCAGGGCGGGATTACCAGCCTGGTATGTCCGACCTTACCACTTTAATTAGGCCTTATAATATCTGCTCTGTGTCAGAATATCAGAAGAATTTTAAATAATTTTCACAACTACAAGAAACATTCCAGCAATGTTTAGTAAATTCAGTGTATTTTAAGTTGAAAGAAGCAGCAGAGCAGGGGCGGATCTAGAGAAATATTCATGGGGTGGCAAGAGAGTGGCATGGGCACTGTAAGGGGAAATATATGCTAAATTTAACAAAAACAATCACATGTATCGATATTTGCCTTTAAATGCCCCCAAATGAAGAGATTTGAACATCACATCATTGTGGCCCATTAGTAAAGCATTAATAGAAATAGCTAAAGGTGGCATTAAAAATCAATAAATTGTTTTATTTCCAAATCTTCAGACATTTTTCCAAATACAAGTTTTTTTTCATTGAACTTAACCTATCACGTAGACTAATGAGTCCATGACAGATCATTAAATTACATGTGTTAAATTACATTTTTAACATGTTATTTTTAATCAAAATAAACGTGTTACATTTGCCAGCAGATCTGACCCTGAAACAGAGGCTGAGAGTGAGATATCCTTCCATTTAAACCCTCTTGCTGAATCCCCCATAATGCAACACAATAGCAAGTTCAGTTAGCCCCATCCACTTTCTGTTAAAAACTATAAGTCTGAACCACAATCCATCCAAATAACCCCTTTTAAACTTTGGACAATTTAATTATGCAGTACTCCATGTAAAACGTCTCTGTAGAAACAGTGGGTGTCCCTTTAAATTCACTCTATCTAATTTAGGAACTGCCACTTGTTACTGTATTCTATAATGTAGAAATACTGTCTATTTTCTATGTAAGCTGTGTGTGTGAATTTGTGTTTATTTGTTTAATTTTTTTAAAAGACAGTGTTCTTAATGATAATAAAGGCTAATGAACTAAATTAACTAACATAATACAAGGGTTAAGAGAAAAAAAAAAAGTGCCAGTGTTACCTCCTGTGCAGTGCCGAGGTGCCCTTGGGCAAGGCAACCTAACCCCGAAACCTGCTCATGAGGCGCTGGTAACACGGCAGCCCCATCACATCAATTTCCCCCTAGGGGATCTATAAAGTATGTCTTCTTCTTCTTCTTCTTCTTCTATTTGGCAAAGGTAACAAAAAATGATCACAAGAATTAAATGAGATAATTACCAGTTAATGTGCTTAATTCTAAACTCTGAAATACATCACAACCAAACAAAAGAAAAACATTGTAATTTTTTTGCCTTTTCAGAAATAACCTAAACTGCAACAAGCCTAACTGATACCTAGCAGTATGCCTGTTACAGGTTAGGTTGTCTAATATTAGACACATTCAGTGATGAAGACCAACAGCCTCATTTATAACAGAATATGTCTTTGCAACCTGCATCTCTCCGCCTGTCTCAAGGTTAGGGCTCGCAAGGGAGGAGAGGGATCAGGTTACACTAATGCATCATGGCTGCTGGAGGACACACATGCACACGCCTCGTCACCCACTGTCTCACTCCATCTCTCTTTCTCTTTCTCTAACACACACCCTTGTGAGCTGATACCCTTGTAGGAGTCTAAAGCACCACCTTGGCCTTGTGTGATTGTGCCCTTGCAACCTGCGAGCAGTCTGCTGTCTGTCTCTGGGAAAATCACTTGTCTCCAAAAATAAACTGAAACCATGTACAATCGCTAAAGGCCTGGCTGAGGTTAAACAGTGGCAGAGCAGTAAATTTCAATTTAAGCTCTGTGGTATGAGATATCCAGTATTAAATTATGAGAAAATAGATTGGTGGCAGAAAAGTTAATTTTGGGAATTTGATATTACAGAATATTCAGTGATATTAGGAGCATTGCATATAGTTATTTTAACCTTTGTCTAACATTTCTATTGACTTTGAGTGCAAAACACCGTACACCATCAGAAATTCATCTGTACACCTTTAATCCTGCTTTCCCAATTATGATGATAGTGCTGACACTAACAACTATTTTCATTATCGATCTCTCAACGATTTCTGTTTTGTCTACAATTGTGAAAAATACCCATTCAAATTTACATTACACTCAGACCCCAATAAGCCAAAACCAGAGAACAGCAGGAAATTTGAGAAATGTGTATTACTATTAAAATAGTTGGAAATTCATTTCTGACTGCTTATTTCAGCAATATTGGTGATTGCTTAACCACTGCAGTGTGAAGGATTGGCGGGCAAACTACCGAAAACGTTACAATTGATTCCCATTATCATTGGAATAGGTTGTCATATAATTGTATTTTACTTTAACAATTTGTAAGTAATGAACAGAGGATGATTATCACTCACAAGTCAATCACTAGTTAATGTGGACAAGATGGTAATGAGAGGCGCTGATGTGTCATTATTGAGACCCAAATTCTGCTATGATTGCATTTACCCCCCTCTAGCCTCGTTTTCCAGTGCGTCTCACAACGTGCAGAGATTGCAGTTGCTAATCAGGTCATACAAATTGCCACCAGTACCTGTTTGCCATTCTGCTTACAGCCAACTGGAATGTCCATCTGTGCATCCATCATCCATCCATTCCACTATCTATCCATTAGCACCAGTCAATGAACACAGCTGTTGATTCAGTATCTTTGTTTTTTGTTACTTCGACTAAACTAGAAATAGGAAGACATCATTTTTTGATTGATTATTCAGAAAAATAACTGACACATTTATCAGGTCCATTATCCATGTACTCCATATACTGGAGCAGGAGGTGAAAAGGCAAAGAAGCACTGTCTGTAGTCCATATCGTGGGGCTAACACACATACAAACACTTTCACACTCCCATTCAGCAGATAAAAACCTATGGACATTCACACTGACAGAGATAAAGGCCTCCCTGTACAGATTAGATGCACTTCCATGGGGCCCTGCAAGAGGCTACAGATTGAAATTTCCTTCGGAAGACCAACCATTGACCTCTAATATTAAGGAAACACCAGAGTGCTAAGAGGTCATTTTCTCTCTGAATGACATTCTCTCCTTTACAAACAGGCACAGACATGCACACATATACACACTCTCTCCTCGGTGTAGTGAGAGGGCCTTATTGTGCGAGCCAGAGGAAATGCAGACACAGCAGAGGACAGGCCATCCATTGATCCGAGTATAGACTCCTCTCCTTCTCAGCCTCTCCTCTCCTTTCTCTCTCGCTGCTATCTCACACTGTCTTTGCCTTTTTTTTTTCTAGCTCAACCCCTCGCTCTCTCTGCTCTTTGTGTGCTCTTCTTCACTCCATTCTCCTACATATAGTTTTTGTCTCCCTGTGATCTACCACCCCCTCTTTCTCTATATTATCACTTTCTCTTTCTAGATCATTTCTGTTACTTCTCTCTCTCACTCTCTGCCTGCTCGTATCTGGTAACCATGCTTTCACCCACTCTCCTGTCTGCGTCTGGTACCACATCTCTCCTTATTATCTCTATCTGCCAAACATCATCCATCCATCCTCTTCGCTATTCTCTTTACTTCACTTCAGCTTCCCGTCCTTTTTTTTCTCTTCCCATTCTCTCTGTCCCCCACCATTCATGGTACTTTGGGAGCAGAAATTCAGTTGAAAACTAAAAGAAGTAGAAGATGGGAAGAAGTAACAAATAGCAATGAAGGAAGGATGTAAAATGGGAAACGAGGAAGCAAGGAAAAAGGGCTGAGAAGATGACAGGAGGGAACAGTGAAAGAAAATAAGGAGGTGGGAAAGAAAAAATAAACTAAAGACGGGATAACACGTGGAAGGATGCCAGAAAATGTAGGAGAGCCACAAAGGAAGTGAAGGAGGAAGGAAACGAGGACAGAGAGCAGTGACAGCAGGTAGTTTGTATGTTAAAAGCTGTTGGAGCTGTGCCAGTAAAAACAGACGCAGAGCTGAACAGGAGGAAGTGATTTAGTCAACTCACACACACACACTCACTCACTTACTCACTCACTCACTCACAGTGCACCTTCAGCAATGGCCAAAGCAACCCTCTGGTGACTAGTAATCCTCAGAACTCCTTTGTACATCCCTCCTCATCTCACTCGCTCCTTGGCCTCCTCTCCTTCCTTCCCTCCCTCGCTGCTTCAGCAATTCCCTCTTCACCTCCCTCCTTCACCTTCTCCCTCCGTTCTTTTTTTTTTTTCCTGACACTTTCTTGTCTCCCTCCCTCCCTCCCTC